TTTTTTTTTTTTTTTTTTTTTTTTCGAAAGAATGATCGTAACGTAGTTTTATCGTATTTTTGCGATTTTAGCAGCGTTGTTCAATGTGTTGTTCCGCTTAGTTTAAATTGTCCTATATCGAGTCTCCTGTTTTCCATTTTTTCAAAATACGTTGAAATATTTGAAATTCCTCTTAAACCTTTTTTCTTTTTCTTTGATTTGCAGGTAAAGTTATATTATGCAGGTTATTGCTTATTTATAATGGTTAGATATTTTGAATTAAATAAAAAATAAAGAGATGTAGTTTTCGTAAACTATGATCGTTTACTACAGGATCGTTTATAAATATCAAGCTCAAGATTTATGGGAAATATTTCACCTCTCAAATTCTAGATACATGTTGTACGAATGAAATATTCACATTCGATATTCAATAAATACCACTATTCATTTTCTACGGGCAAAGATTGATTTTATTTAAATCGAGGAAATCATTTCGCGGCATATCATTCTTATTTTACTCTGCGATACTTTTAAACGGACATGACATTATCGAATTAAAAAATTATCTTTTAAATTCTTTCTCCAGCAGTCATTAGATCTATTAATCATTCTAGTAATCACTCTACAGCCACTTCCAAACCGTGTTCAATTAAAAAGAAGATAATGGAAAAATTTGGGTCAACGACCATCTTCAAAATAATTAATCAGCTTTGTAAGTTGCAGATTGGAATTCCATTCGTCTGACTCTACTTCAGAAGCATCTATAGTTCGTATAATAGGAATTCAGTTTTAGATAAGTGAGCTTAATTAGCGGAAGTTGGTTTAATCGGACAGTAATTAAAACTTTGTTCGGATCAGATCACACCAGATAAATGGTGCTCAGATAAATAAAGTTTTACTGCAAGTAATTTCTTAAAAGGAACAGATCCATAAAATTGACTCGCTCTAACGAAGTGCTGTAAATGACGAAAAATCATGGTAAAATCAGGACTTCCCGGAAACTGCTTGACGCAACGATTCGCTTAAGCGCTCGCTACGCTTGCTCTCGCGACAAATATTAATCAAACGTGACACTGTTAGGTGGATCGCGTAAAAAGCATTCGTGTGTTCGCCATCATTGTGTCCGTTAACATGGAACGCAATGTATCGTTAACCGATACGCAAGTGCAAAGAAGGAAGAAAGAAAAAGCGCAGGGCTATCGTGTATCTCAAAGACAAAATCAACGCTCGAACCACATGCTCTGGAACCGAATCCCCCCTCCCCCACGATGAAACAAATCTTTACGGTTGTTACTCGAGAAACCGGATATCTAAAGCTTGTTTTCTGGCAAACGTGGCATACCAAGCGCCAAGACATTCTTTATAACTTTTTCATATCTTGAAAGCTATCCCTCGAACATGAAACAATTCCTTTAGCATTTCACTAATCGACAAGAATATTACGCGTCCTCTGTATTTTGTCTGTGTGACAAAATTGGATTTTTGCTACATTTAAATAGGAATATTTTTTTTCGATTTATTCGTACGAAATTACTTGTTTTACACAGGCAAATAGTTCCCTTTTTATAATTACCTGCTAATTTATGAGAGAAAATTACTCGTATTTGGAGACAATTTTACTCCTCTTAATCGCGATCTTCGTAATTGTTGATCAAATATTAAGATGTGAATATAGGTTACGCTTCGTTTTATTTGCAATACATCGTGTGTGTTATAAGAAAAGTTTAAAACCACAGACAAAACTGGAAAATTGATTTAATAAGTCCTTGACTTAGTTTACGGAGATTAGGCGTTGACTGCGGTATGATCAAGACGTTGTCCTTGTTCATAGAGGAAATAGGACAAAAAGGGAGAAACATGTATCGTTTAGTCGATAAATACCATTTTGTTTATAAAAACGATACCATAAAATAAAGCCCTGTCGTTTGGAGATCGACAAACAATAAAAGTCAAGTGTTAGTCGATCGAATATGAGAAAATCAAAATTTCTTTCTAATAAATTTCCTTAACATTGAACGAGTTAAACAAAAACAATTTAATAGCCTGAAACGAAATAAAATATAAATATGGCAAATATCACTGTCGAGTCGTTCGAAACGTAATCCGTCTTTCGTACACGGAATGTTTCATTCATCCTGAACAATTTCGTACCTATTAACTCAGAAAGATGTATCAAGTCACGGCGCTCTGAATGACAATATTATGATTCATGACTTTTTCTTAAGGACAATTCTTACGAGGTTTGAAGTTCATTCATTACGAGCGTGTTTATAAATTTCAGTGTTGCTCGTAGAAGCTTGGTTGCTTTATCGTTTCTAACGTTTGTAATCGTATTGTCTCCAAGTATCGATTCATAGTCGTCAAATTAGTTCTAATCTCAAGGTTAGTGCTAGTACTACGTTTATGTGTCTCATTGACGTCAGATTTGCAGAATCAAGAAATACGACTGGAGTTACCATACTGAAATATGGAAATGATATCATCTGGAAACGAACGTTCGTTTAAACTATCACGATTTTTTTTTATTCTACATGGTAAAACGTATTTCAGAGTGATAAAACGTATCGAATGTGTAGACACATCGTGTGAAATCTATTCTTTAAAAAAATATGTCATTACCTACTTGCGAATTAAAGAATAAGAAATCTTGATAGAAAAATCGCCAATCACGATACATATTCTGAATCAAATATTATCACGTTAATATCGTGAAATATTAAGGTAGGTCTTTAAATTTTCTATCTCACAAGCGAAAGAGCTGCTAATTTTTACACAAAAATTTTACCGTAAAATTGGATTCTCTCGTATGTTGCTTAAACTCGAGGCGTTGTTCGTCGATAGGAAGACTCGAGAAAAGGTGGAAAGGTCGACAGCGTGGAAAGGTGAAGATGTTGAAAATAATCGGATCACTTTGTGAAACATCTTTGCGTTTCGAAAGATAAGATTTCGAAGCCGTGCACTTTACAGCGAATGAAAATGTGTTTAAATGAAAATGTGTTCCTTTTTTTGTAGGTTCGCATAGGCCACTGCGGGAGTTGCGATGCCAACGTATCACAATGCGGGTGGCGGATACCCGAATGTGTCAGCGCCAGCGCGGCAAGCGAAGCTCGATGGCAATCAAAATCACCATACGATCCCCTCAAACGTAACATCCCATCCCCTTATACAAAATAGCACGCAACACAACGTTCCTTCCAACTTGTCTACAAGTAACATTCCGTCCCATCCAGTATCACCGACGATGACTACGCATTCGAACGTCACCTCTGCTAATATAACCAGTCACATGAACACCGGCTCATCACCGGTAATCCTCACCTCGAACGTCACCAATCCTAGCAATCCTGCTGCGTTATCGGCGAATCCGAGGCACGAGGTCAAACTCAACGCTATGCCGTACGTATTTGTTTCTTGCACCATCGCGAATTTACATCGATTGTATAAGAAACGATTGGATGAGATTTTTATAAAAATTCTTTATTGCATCGAACTTATATTATGTCTATATATATATATATATATACCGGGTGGTTGGTAACTGGTGGTACAAGCGGAAAGGGGGTGATTCTACGCGAAAAAAGAAGTGGAAAATATAGAATAAAAATTGTTCGTTTGAGGCTTTGTTTTCGAGAAAATCGACTTTAAATTTTCGCTCGGTACGCGTGCACTTTATCGCGTCTCGTTATAACGGATCTCACTGTAGATCGTTGTCTCGATGGAAAAATTAAAAAAAATTTTTATTCTATATTTTCGACTTCTTTTTTCGCGTAGAATCACCCCTCTGTGCTTGTACCACCAGTTACCAACTACTCTGTATATATAGATAAGATGAGATTTCTCACGGAAAAGTAAATCGAAAACGTAGAATAATATTTTTCGATTTAACGCTCGATTCGCGAGAAGATTAATTTTGAAAATTCTTTGTATACATAAAACACGGTTCTTTGATATATACTATACTTATCGTGTTTGTACATAGTTTTTACGTAACTTTTATAAATTTCACGGGATTCTAATAATTATGA